GAGAAGCCTGGAAAGCTGGAGGTTGCATCATCTGAAGGCCCATTGTTAACATATGCGGTAGTGCATGCTGGCTGTCAACTGAGACCTCCATGGGGAGCTGTGGCTGAAACACATACACATAGCCTTGCATGTGGCTGGGTTCCAAGGGTGAACATCCCAAAAGGATCAGAGAGCAGTCTATAATTGACTTTTATAACTCAGCCCCAGAAGTCATGTGTCATTCCCACCATAGTTTCTAGTCTATACATATTTAAAGGGAGGGAACAGAGACCCTGCCTCTCAATGGAGAAATGTCAGCATCACATTTTCAGAAGAGGAGGATGGGCTATATTAGTGTAGCCATCTTTGGAAAATACACCTGCCACAAAGTATAAAACAGGCAAAATTAATGTATGGTCTTAGAAGGGAGGAAGTGGTTCCCCTTAGAAAGGGGGTAATGACTAAAAGGAAACATGAGAGGGGTTTCTGGGGTGCTCATGATGTTCTGTTTTTTGATCCAGTGCTGATTTACTTTGTGAAAATTCATCAGCTGTATTGACTTGTGCACATTGTGGATGTATGCTATAACTCAGTAGAAGGTTTTTTAAAGACTGTCAGAAATTATATTTTTGACAAAGCTTGGTGAATTCAGTAAGTCCGATCCAAAATTTCCTCAACAATAGCCCCATCATTTCCATTGGGATACAATTGAGAGGTGAATAAAATCACTCGGGTCAGATGCTAGCCTTCTTATTGGGCTTGCCAGCATGGAGCAACAAGTGGGTTTCTTTTTCTCAGGGCCAGAGAAATATTAAAGCCCACTGTAACAGTTAATTTTATGTGTCAATTTGGCTGGGCCACAGTGCCCAGATATGTGGTCAAACATTATTCTGGATGTTTCAGTGAGGGTGTTTTGGGATGAGACTAGCATTTAAATTGGTACACTGTGAGTAAAGCAGATTGTTCTCCATGATGTGGGTGAGCCTCATTCAATGAGTTAAAAGCATGAATAGAACAAAATATTGATATCCCCCAAGCAAGAAGGAATTTTGTCAGGACTTGAAGTGCAGCATCAGCTCTTTCTTGAGTTTCCAGCCTGCTGGCCCACCCTGCATATTTTGGACTTGCCAGTCTCCATAATTGCATGCCCTTTCTTATTTAAACTAGAAGTCAGCAGGGCGATATGTGCCTCTCAAGGAACTGGTAAAACTCTCAGCTCCAATTTTCAAGCCCATGTGAGGTTCCAAAGCTCTCCCTCTCTTTATTTAGAGCTTTCTTCTAAATGCTACTTTCTCTCTCAGTTCTCCCTTGTAATTCAGACATAAGCCCAACCCTTCACTAGTTTCCATTAATACATACATATATGTTATATATATATATAAACACATACATATGTTATATATATTACATATATGTTATATAACACATAACATATATGTAATACATATATCAAGGATTTTATGAGTTTATTGATTTTACTAAGGGTTTGAAAACGTAAAAAAAAGATTTCTGTATTAGTCAGCTATTGCCACAATGTGCTGTGTAACAAACCCTATTGAAAGCAGGCTAGCTTTCCATAATTGGAAAATCAGTTTAAGAGCCCAAAGCCAATGGCTTTCAGTTCTTGTATGGATTATACTAAAAATTGTGACATCAACAAAGCTCTTGATGGCACTGGGGACCATACTATCAGGGGAGAGGGGAAACCACAGGAATCAACCACTTAGAGTCAAAAGTGAATCAAAATGTTGGACTCTGAATGTTAACAAATTTAGAATGCACTAACCAAGGTGTTTTGCTTGTATTTTTTTATGTTCACCTAAGAGAAATATGTGATAAAATTTTTGTGTAATTAAATCTGAAAGAGCTCTTTCAATGTTAAATTCTAAATGATAAAAAAGCAAGATGCCACAGTTTTAGTTGTAATGTTTTTCTTCCTTAACGAGACATTACATAAAGGTATGCTTTAGGATTAGGTTGGGTTAAAGACATTATTTTATACTGGCTTTAACCAATCCCAGATCTAATTGCTTACTCCAATGACAGTGTCCAAAAATGGGCCAGAGACAGGCAGAACCATGAGCCACACTGAGTTTGTGCTCAAAGTTCCCACTCTTGCTTTTGTCACTTTCCTTCTCCCTTCCTTCTTCAATGAAAACCTCTTCCCTTAGATATCAAGTGCCATTAACTCCCTGGTTCAGATCAGTTCAGGAAGAGTCTTCTTCCTTTTTTCTCCCTGGGGGACAAATGACAGAATGCTCAAGAGAACATGCCTTCCAGGGTACTTGCATTTAACAGTGGGAAGGAAAGAAAAGAGCCTCGAAGGTTGGGATTCAGGCATTGGTGGTCAGAAGGAAGATTGAGGGAGGTGAGGGGATGAGTTTTTACTGGCTACCCCTTGAAATTTGGCCAAGTGAGTGAGAGGCCAGAGTAAAGACACACCAACAGTGTGAGCAACTGAAGGGGAGAGGATTTGAATTTACAAAAGAAGCTTCCTTCTTGCCATTAGCTTCCAAGTAAATGTTGTAGGTGTTTCGGACAGTGTTAAATAATCTGCACACTAGGCAGATAGGTATATGGGAAGAAAATCTGGAGATAACTAACCAATAGTAGAATAGATAAGTAAATTGCTGTATATTCATAAAATAATACAGCAAAGGGAATGAATGAGCCAAAGTATGTACAAGAAACTTATGCACTTCCTAGATAGCACATTGAGTCAAAGAATCCAGACACAAGAGCACACGAGATCCGACAATTAATTTTGCGAACTCATCCTAGAAAAAGTGGTACATACCTCATTGCTGAATATCACTATGGTCACCTTCAAAATGCTCCCCTTGGAAAGCTATGCACTGATGCTAGCACCTAGTTCACTCTTCAAAGCAATTTTGGTACTCCTTCTGGAATGGCCAACAGAGCTGTTGTCGTATTACCTTTGATGTCCTGAATGTCATCCAAATGTCTCCTTTCAATGTTTCCTTTAACTTTGGGTAAAGAAAGAAGCCATTGGGGGCCAGATCAGGTGAGTAAGGAGGGTGTTCCAATACAGTTATTTGTTAACTGGCTAAAAACTCCCACACAGACAGTGCCGTGTAAGCTGGCACATTGTCGTGATACAAGAGCCATGAATTGTTGGTAACAAGTTCAGGTCATCTAACTTTTTCACGCAGCCTTTTCAGCACTTCCAAACAGTAAACTTGGTTACCTGTTTGTCCAGTTTGTACAAATTCATAATGAATAATCCCTCTGAGATCAAAAAAGGTTAGCAACATCATTGCAACAAGTTCGCAAACCTAATTGTCAGGGTACGAGTACTGAGGGCATGAGTCTGTTTATATAAAAAGCAAAAACTGGGGACTCTAAACTATGTTATTTTAAGTTGGGATTGTGGTTTCCCTTGGTGGTGAGACCAAGTAGGAACTGGGAGTGGGTGTAAGAGGGACACCCAAGATGCTGAGAAGTCTGTGTCTTGATCTGGGTGTTGGTTATATTCATTGATCTGGGTATACTAAGATGTGTGCACCTTCTGCATGTATGTATATTATTTGTTAATGAAACGTTTTATCAAAAAGAAAGAATTCTCTGGTATCTGAGATTTGAGAAAAACCTAAACAGGCTGGCTACAGGATCTGCAGGAAGGAGTCTCCAAGGATTCATTAGCCTCTGCTTTCATCAGACTGCATAAAACATTGCCCCAAACAAATTATATATTGTATGTCACTACAACTTAATGAAATAAGCTTGACAAACAAAAAAGGTCTTCTTTGAGAGCCCCAGGAAACAAATTTCACACACATCAATCAAGGCTTTTAAAAGTGTCAGCTTCCTTTTCTTCTCCACAGCTTTATTGAGATATAATAGACATATAACATTACATTAGTTTAAGGTGTGCAACAAATTGATATATGTATATGTTGTAATGTGATCACCACAATAAGTTTAGTTAACATCCATCACTACATATAGTTACAAATATTTTTCTTGTGATGAAGGCTTTTAAGGTCTACTCTTTTATCAGCTTCCTTTTTCAAGGAAGACGTGAAGCATATGTATATGCATGTGCACACACACATGTGCACAGCCATAATGAACTCAACAACGTCTGACAGTCAAAATTTGTAGTCTAGGCTAAAACCATAGCTCTCTTGCAGTCATTCCATTTGCCCATTTTGTGATTCCCAGGCTCTCCCCAGCCAGTCTTTAGCTCCCTCCCTCCCACACTCTATGAGCTAAATATAACAATAAATGATTATTTATTTAACATCCACTGAAAGCCTGCTATGACCCTGGCCTGTGCTATGTGCTTGACGTAATTTGACAGCAACCATATGAGGCCAGGAACACAACCATGTTACAAATGGAGCTGAGGCTCAGAAGGGTCACAGAGCTTATCCAAAGTCACAGACTGTGTGACAAGTGGTGGAGCTGTGATTTACCTGAGTTCCATTCCTTATTAGTAATTGTAACCTTGATTTTCCTGTTATCTAATACTGCATAATGAGCCACCCCAAAACAACCATTCATTTTGTTAACTGGACTTGGCTGAGCAGTCCTTGCTCAAAGAGATGCAGTGTCTGCATTCATCTTCAAGGACTCTTCCCTGGGAATTCTGGGGGTTACTGGCATCTCTATCTCTGGTGTCCCCCCATGGTATCTCCAACACAGCAACCTCAGGGTGGCAGGACTTTTCACACAGGGCTAAGTGTGTCTATGAACCACAGGTGGAAGCCTAGGGAGCCTCACAGCATCAGTTCTGCCACAATCTGTTCATCGAGGCAGCCATAAAGGCCTGCTCAGGTTCAAAGGTAGGGGTTTAGATTCTACCTCTTAATGGGAGGAGTGTCAAGGAATTTGCAGGCATATTTTAAAACTACCACAACATGTCCAAACATTATGTTGTTTTGTACACCTGAAATTAATATTAAAAAAATTAAAAACAAAAATAAAAATAAAATACCTCTGCAAACATAAATAAATAAATAAATAAATAAATATAATTCTAAAAAAAAACCCAAAAAACAAAAAACTACCACAATGCATACATTATAATAGTGTATGTTGACAATAACTATTGTCCCCAAATTTCACACTCTTCCCCATCTAACTATGGAATACACTTCCTTACATTCTGATTCTGGGTTTGGCCACATGACTTGCTCTGGCTAGGGGTATGTCAGCCCAGTGATGTGTGCACAACATTGGAAAAGACTTGCATAATCCGGCTTGTTCTGCCATCACCATGGAAAAAACACGCCTGGCAGGACCAGCCTGCTGGTCTGAGGAGGAGAAAGAGGGGCTGAGAGATGGAAGGAGCAGAGCCAAGTCACCCCCGCCTACATGAACAGACCCACAGTTGACCTGCAGATCCATGACAATAAATCCGCGTTACTCTAAGCTACAGAGTGTTGAAATGGCTTGTGATGCAGTGTTTTTGTGGCTGTAAGTAAATGATACACTGCCACTCATAAAAGACATTAGACCCAACTTCAGAAAGAATATTTGAAAGATGTGAGAAAGCCATATGCCTCATCGTATATAAGAGTGCTGTTCAAGATGAAGAAAGTGTAAATAGGAGACAAATTAATATGTCTGCAAAGCTGGCCAATGACCTTTCAGAAAGTTTTCCAAGGTCTGTGCCCATGAACCACACAGAACCGATTTCTCCAGGGAATTCCATCAAAGCCACTGCCTGAGTCCTGCTCACTGACACCAGCTGATTGTTGTGCATAGGCACGTGCAAGTGCATGTGTTCTGTGTGCTGTGGGTATGAAAATGGAAGAGCATCTTTGAGTGATTCTCTGTAATGAAAAACAATGAAAATTCATTCATCACTAGTCAGTTTTCTTGAACTCTGATACTGGCTATTTCTTTAAAAAAAAAAAACAGGAGAAAAGAAAAAAGTGTTTATTTGCGTTGTATTAAATTTCCTTTACAAAAATAATCACTTCTGCATTTCTGGTTCACTTACACCATCCTATCCTTCATGGGGCCTGTCCCCCTTCCAACACCCCAATTTCCTCCCCAAGAGACATGGGAAGTAGCTCAATGAGAAGAGACTATAATCAGAGTTAAAGAACTTTCAAGCTTGAAGGAATATGAGAGTACACCTAATCCAGCTCATCTGATTCCCTAAGAGAGGCAAGACTGGATCCCAGGGACGGCAAGTGACCTCCTGGTTGTCCCATAGCGAGGCTGGGCACCAGCTTGAAACAGAGCTCGGGTCCACCTTCAGGAGTTTCCCTGAAAACTGGTAAAGCCCATGGAATCACAGCAATCATGGCCTTGTGCCCTTCAGTTCTTCTCTGGATTTCAGTTTATTCAACTCTAAAAGGCAAACACTGGATTAGGTGAATTCCAAAATTCTAACTCTTTGATTTAATTTAATTTAATTTTATTTTTATGGGAGGAGGTCAGAGACACTACACCTCTCTCAATAACACATTTGAGGCCAAACAAAATCTATTTTCAAATCCCAGCTCCATCCAGATCTCATGCTTTCGTGCAAGTCACTTAGATTACCAAGTAGGCAAGGTCTACCACGGCCACATACAATTCAAAGGCACCTGAGGATTTTCTGGTTATTTTCAAAATAATTTGCTACATGGCAGTTGTATTTATTGGAGAGACGCTTTCCTGAAGACCTCATGTAAATTTAGTTCACATAAGTCAAGGCCAACTTTCCACAGTATTCACAAAGGATGGTGGGTTTTCCTTTTAGCAGCTGAGAGTAGCCCCCTGCTAGAAACAAACAGTAGTTTAAGCACAGCTTAAAAACCATTCTATCTTGACAGCCTTGAAGCTGTGTAATTCCTGACTTTTATTTCTTGTATTGTTTTACTTTTGGATCATAAAGTGAGACTTTGTTATTATTTTAAATTAAACTATTTCAGGATCACATCGTTCAAATTCACATAAAAATAACCAAAACTATATATATTTCAAAAGACATCAAATTAGTCATCATGGAGAAAATCCCAGAACTTGGCTGGCCTATCTTACACTTGATTTATGGTTTAGCATAGCTTTTATTTTTAATTACATGTGTTGGAAATGTGGGGGAGCACCATCATTTATTTGAGGCCAAGACCTTGGCAGCTCTTCACCCTCCCAGTGGCAATGGGAATAATTTCAGGACTTCTCCCAATGGATACAAGTTAAGCACTTAATGCAGTACCTGGCATATAGACAAGTGTGCCCAAAATGCCACCTCTTACTGTTATTACTAAGCTGACCTCTCTTTTCCCAGTTACCTTCCAAATACCGACCATTTTTTTAGAATTATAAACATCCAGGGGGAACAGGGATCAGCTGGAGTTATCCCCCCATTGTGGGGTTAAAGAGGAAGAAGCCCACTGGGGAAAAAAAGATGGTGTCACAGATATTGGTTGGCCATACAACAAGGATGCCACCAGCATCCTCTTCCCCTCCAACACTCTTCCACTGACCCATGTCACTAGCTTGCCCCACTGCACACCACCACCTTGCCACATATTCATGGTCTTAAGATTCCTTTAGACTCAGAAGAAAAGATGGTGCCACTTGGAAATACAAATGAGTGGCTTTCCTTCTTTCCTTGGCCATTTCTCAGGAGTCTGTTTAGTGACCCATTACGTTCTAGCCTAAAAAGACACTGAAATGAAGCCCTCAGTTTTCTGGAGCAGAGTCTTGGGTTTGGGTCTTTGATCTGTCCCTTCAGTGATGTCATAGAGTCACCACCATCATAAAGGTCACCATCAGAACTTGGAGAAGTCTGGGGTCACAGATCTCAAGATAGGGGGGGAAAGGCTAAATTCTTCTGGCAATCCCAACTTTATGAGTCTTAGGACCAAACTTGGACAGTGTCATCCCCCAATCCAACCTTCTCTTCCAGAAAGATAGGGCTAGCCAACAAGGTGTCCAGATTTTAACAGGTGTTTTCCAGCCTCAGATCATGTGAGGATGACAAAGTCCTGTCCCGGGACTAGGGGGCTGTGCCCTGGCTGGCTACTGTGCCTCTCCAGCCTTCTGCCCCTATTCACCAATGACCACCATGTGCCAGTCCCATTGCCCTAGTCTTATGTTCCCAGAACTTATCTTGCTCTGCCAGCTCCTTTGCCTAGAAATGGTCTCATCTCTGTCCCATCTCCTTACCTCCCACTCACACCTTTGATCTCATTCCTCAGGAAGCCTTCCCGGACCCCATCCAGTCTACAAGGACCCCCTGGGCTTTTCCTTCTGAGCCCTCACCACAGTGTGTAGGCAGGCACCATACTAGGAATTCCAGGCACACAAGAGGTGTTCATTTTGCTCATCATTGCATCTTTTACATTTGGCACCGGTAGGGCTGAGTAGGTATATTACTTAGTAGAGCTCAATAATTAACACTGAATGAATTAATACAAGTTCGGAAGCTGACAGAGAGCAGAATATCAAAAGGAAGTGGGTGATCAAAGGGAGTGGTAGTATCCCTAAAATGACTCCTTAGCTCTGGAATTCTCCTCAATTCTTCTCATCTGAATCCTGCCCCAACTCGGTTTGTACTTTGGGAATATTCCTGAAAAGACACCATGTTGAATGGAGCCCTCAGGGCTTCGAAGGACTTTTGAGACCACTTCCCCATAATAGGCTCTGATCCCACTTTGTAGGCCTCCAGGGACTCAAATAAGAAACTTGCTCAACTGAAAAGCTAGACTCCTTTGTATAAAAAAATTTCCTCAGTCATGTCCTTTTTGTTATTGTTGAGGAAAGAGAGAAAGCCAGCAGCTCCACCCCTCACTAGCTAAAATCCTGAATAATATATGTGGTTCCCTTGAAACCAACAAAAACATCTCCAGAAAAATCTACCATTACCCTCACTTAACCTCCTCAGGCTATAAAACAACAAAAGCCACTTAAAGACAGGCATTTTCTGATCAGTTCTTTAAGGGAAAACTTTTCCTCAGTAGGAAATGTTCCAGAGGCTACCAGACTGGAACATGGAAATGACCATCACCAGCTGCCCCAGGGTGCCGAGCCCCATCACAGTATTTTCCTGATTCCTCACCCCACCCCCACCAAAAACCTGTGGGAACATCCCCAAGGGCCACCTTTCCAGCCTGTTTCACAGGCCACCTGCAAATCTCAGCCTGGGCTTTGGGGGCCTCCAGCTGTTTCCAAGAGTTAACTAAACAGCCATTTAATTACACTGCTGGGCTATATAAATATTGTCCTCCACAAAATGGTACAAAGCAGATATTTTTAGGAGGTCACAGATGTTTCTTGTGATTAGCTAAGTGACAGGTCTGGAAGAATGTTTTTTCCTCCCAAAGGAAAATAAAGAAAGGATCGTCAGCGGCCACTTGTGGGTACTCCGTGATGTGGCGTGATGTGAGTAAGCATGGGTACTCAGCAGAATTCCTTCCTGCTGTCAGAGTTTCCCTCTGAAATCCAGCAAGCAGGTCCAAAATCAAGGATCATGGAGGTCCGATGCCCAGAGAATCAGACGCCCAACCCCAACATGGGCAGTTTCTCCCATGGACTTGCCCTGCCTCTTGATCCACGACACAAACTTTCATGAAGCACCTACTGTGTGCAAGACGCCACACTATGGCTATCACTGTAAACTTGGATAAGACATTAACAAATACTAAGCACAGAAAGGAACTTCTGATCACACAGACATACAAGAAAGCTCACAGCGGCAGTGTTTGACGTAGCCCCCAACTGGCAACCATCCATTTACAATGGAGCCCGTTCAGCAGTGAACAAATGAAGCATAACCATACACAACAGTATGCATAAGCCTCAGACACAGAACGGTGAGTGAAAGAAGCCATTTATACAAAGTACAATAACAGGCAAAACTAAAATCTGTGATGTTAGAAGTCAAATAGTGGGTACACTCAAGAAGGGAATAAGTAGGAAGAGGCAAGAGAAGGGGTTCCTGCAGCGCTGGAAATGTGCTATTTCCTGAGCCAGGTGCTGGTTTGTTCCATTTGGGAAAGTTTGTTGAGCTAAACACTTAGGATTTGTTAACTTCTCTCTATAAAGAGTGAATTTTAAGACTAAATAAAAGCAACTTGCCCAAAGTCCCACAACTAGGAAACGGCCGGGCAAGATCCAGCCCCAGGAAGTCTGGTTCCAGAGTCCAAGCTCTTACTCCCGTGTCCTGCTGTCCCCCATAAGTTAGAGCCCCCAGAGGTGGCCAGAATGCAGCACCCACTGTGGTCGTTCTTTGGGCCTCGTTATCACTGTCTTCTCCAGCTAACTGCCAACTGCCCGGGAGTCAACAATCCCTGTCCCAGGAGCAGGCTTCTCCCCAAGACTGACAGGAGTTGGTTTAAAATGCCGCAGTTCCCTCTTTCCCTGGTAAGATGACTCTGAGGTGTGTTCTGCGGCACCTCCAACACCTCAATGGGACTGAGCCCCAGCTGCCCACAGCAGTGACCAGCTCAATTATAAACCCAGAATCTACTTCCTTCCCTGCCTAGTCTCATATCCCCACTCCCCCCCCCCCAAAAAAAAAACTGCTGGCACTGACGCTTTACCCTAGGCTGTGCTTCTGGAGTGTCGAATTCAGGCACCCTTGTCAGAGTCCCTCCCTGGCCACCCAGCTCCCCTCGGCCACATTGCCTGTTTTCTTCCATTTTGCCAATACTCATTTTCTGAAATTATCTTGTTTGGCCATTTGTTTACTGTTTATTGTCTTCCTGTCACCCACACACATCCCCATCTGAAATGCTCTGAGAAAAAAGGAAACTCAGCTTGCTTGCCACTATCCCCCCAGAAACTAGAACCAGCCAGGATTTCCAAAATGGTTAATAATGAGTATGGTGAAGGAGAAACCAATCAGAACATAGTCCTGGACAAATCCTCCTGGCTTCTTAAATAATTGCTGTATAGCAGCTTAATTTCATTAATGATCTTAATGCCTAACACATGATAGGTGCTCAATAAATATTTATTAGATGAATGGATCAATCAGTCAGTTAATGAACAAAGGAAATCTGGCAATTCACTGCTAAAAATCCAAAATCTGCCCTAATTTAAACCTTCCAGAATAGAAGCCTTGCCCTCGTTGCTGATGTTTTCCTGGATCAAGTGCCTAAACACGTGTGGATGGATTCACCTGTGGGAGCTGAGACTACCGTTTTCCTATTTGAGGAATGGAGAAATCAGCTGCAAGAAAGTGGGAGCCCTAACAGTGGTCCCAGGCTCCAGATGCTTAGTCTGGTCTACATCCAGACACCAGAACTTCAGGGAAACTACAGAGCAGCCATGAGCCATGTGCTGCATCCGTTCTATGGCCCAGTGCATGGCTAAGCCTTTTTCTGAGCTTAAGGAGGTGGCATCCTAAGCTCAGCCACTAAGTTCTTCCACCAGCTTATCTCACGGTGCTTTTAGCCTCTCTGAACCTCAGGTTTCTGCCATAAGGGTTATCTTCCAATTGGGTATTGTCTCCTTGGGTTGAGAGGAAGTGCTTCATTCACCATTGCGGTTCGATGCTTAGCACAGAGCCTGCTCACTCATAGACCACCATAAATATTTGCTAAACTAACTATTCAGTACAGGAAATGGTAACATTTCAATACTGCATTGTGTTAAATTCTTACTGTATGCAGACCTTGCACTCAGTACTTCCCCCTGTACTATCTCCTAAATCAGAGATATGCAAGTTCCTTCAAAGGTGTAAAGCAGACTACAAATAGGAGATAAAGAGCTATTTTTCTGAGATGCCCAGCATATGAGCTGCCATCCCCACCTCTGAGTCCTTCATTTCA